GCCAAAACCCTTTCTCTTGTTGGACTTTTGCGTAGCCTTCCTCTTTTCCCTTCGTCTTTGTTTTATCTCATAAGGAACGTAGGCACGCTTTGCCTTCCATATCATATCTGAAGGTTTCAAGTGAACAAGAATTGGGTTGTGCGCGTCTCTGTCTGTAGGTGCAACCCTGAAGATGTTGTGGTCACTGGACAAGCAAGTTTCATTAACCCTGAATGTAAACTCACCAGCAAAGTCCATGTGATCTTGATCATCAAAATAACTCATCCTTTTGTCCTTGTGATGCCTGATGAGTTCACGACGTAGTCCATCAACTTGCTAGTAATCACCAGACACTAGAGCTTCTTCTTCTTCTTCCTTCTTCTTGAACATCTTGTTTCACAAATATCTGACTGTACTCAAAGTGATCATATTGTGAGAAGAAACTCTTGACTTGTGGAGTCTTGAAATGCACTTGGCTCATGTACCATGCAACATCTTGTAGATCGAGAATGAGATGAGTACTAATGGCTGTCTTCAAGACCATTTTTCTCATGCCAGTACGTGCACAGGACAAGTAAGCCTTCTCTGGAGTAAGTTCGAATTGGAATCCAAGGTTTCTCATTTGTGGAAGTGACATCAACAATGGGACATCACCTTCTTCGACAATGTCGAATTCTGTGAACTGAGTCTTCCATCCATTGTCATACATGAATATCACAAGCTTCTCAGTGCACTTGGATTGTTGGGAATTTGCAAACAAGAATCTTGAACTTGCTGGCTGAATTTCATACCAGAGTCCACTGTTTGGATGTGAGTCAGCATACCTGCAAAACGCTTCAACTGCTCGTCGAGAGCCCATAGCTCTTGTGCACCCAAGGTCAAGGATACATACAGTTGGTGGTGCAGAATTCCCTGTGTGAAAAGCTAATCCATTCTCACATGCCAGATCAGGTTGTATGATATGAAATGAAAAAGCACTCTGCTGCTCATCTGATTCCTCTGTCTCCGCAGAGCGTTCAGGATGAGATGGTATCTCTGTCTCTTCAGAGTATCCATATAAAAACAATGAGGTGCCTTTTTCCAATGGCTTCCATGAAGCCTCACCTTGCTGCAAGCCAACTTCTCTGGGCACTGGTGCTGGTCGTCTGTGTAGGCCTGAACAAAGTGTGGAAAGATCTCCAACCAAAACAGGAAATCTCTTGGCTTCCTTCCTGTTCAGCCGTGCCACTTCATCACGTTGGTTTTGTCCTCCTCGATGAGTGCGTCGATGGTCCTCTTGCTCTTCATAGGTGGCTGACAAAGCATCCGCACGTGCTGGTTCTGTCTCTGCAAATGCAAAGAGACCATGACCAGAGCATGATGCTGCAGAAGAGTAGTGAGCTTGTTGCTGCTGTTGGTTCTGTATGGCAGGAGTCGATGAGGTCTGAGGTTGAACATAGTTGGGCTTACCTTTGCCATCTCCTGGTTTTCCTCCTTCGCCATCATCATCCTTGCCTTTCTTGCCTTTCTTGCCTTTCTTTTCCTTTTCCTTTTCTCTGGAAATATCCATACTCATCTAGGTAGCACAGATCTTCGTAGACCCAATAGCCTTCATTCCAGTTCTGATCATCGGCCCAATAGCCTTCATGAGATTCATTCCACTCATCTCCTTCATTCCATTCTTCTTCATATCCTTCTTCACTCACCGTGTGAGAGTGGCCTGTTCTCCTTTTTCCTCGGCCTTTTCCTTTCCTAGATCTGAAGAACCTTCGTCCTCCTCTGCCTTTTCCTTGTCCTTTTCTCTTTCCTTTACCTTTGCCTCGTCTGGTCTGTCTTCCTTGGAACCTTCTCTGATGCCGTGTGTAGTCAGCGTCGTCGTAGACCCAGAAAACACCTTCTAAAGCATCCAGGAATCCTTCTGCGCCGTCTTCATCATCTTCGGCCCAATAGCCGTCAGTTCCTTCACATTCTCCTTCATCCAGAACGACGAAAGATCTTCTCTGTCCAATGCCAGGGGGTTGCATCATAGGATTGTCTACTGCTGTCTTTGTCGCGCAAAACATTTCCAGGAAAAGATCTCTGAGTTCTTGCGCATTGTGCTGGTCAAGTGTTCGTCCACGATGTGTCATGATACTTGTGAGGGTGTTCCTTTGATCTTGCGTCAAATCTGCTAGACTTACAAAGATCAGAGCTAGCAAGTTTTCACCCAAGGGAAATGCCATTCTCTGCTGTGCTCTTCTGTTTTCCTTGAGTTGTCTGAATGCTATCAATGCATGTTCATCTGTCCATGGTGCATTGACATGTGGATCTTGTCCTTGTAGTGCTGCTGCGACTTGTACGAGTTCAGCTTGACGATCTTCATGTTCTTGTCGACGTTGTGCAACAAACAGGATTGCTTCTGTGCTAGTAACCAACAAATCTGGTAGTAGATCCATCCAAGACTCAATAAGTCTATTCCCAGTCAGTTGAGATCTAGTCATCCATTTTTGTAGATCCATGGCTCCTCTGTTGCGCTTCATGTAAGAGAACACGTTTTGGGCACCTTTGATGAAATGGGGTCACAAGAATCTTTTGAAGTAGTTGGACGCCATCGTTGGGATCCCTTAACATTTCTCGATCCAGTAATCTCTTGTACTGCTGCGCTTCACCTTCCAATCTGTTCCTCAACGCCGGTCCACGTTTTTCCGGTTCCAGCTCTGTGATGTCACACCAGTCATCGATTGCATCTTCAAAGGTAAAGAAACTGGCTCGTCCATCATATGCAGGGGCTACCTTCGTGGTCATCTGCTGCGTCATATGGATTGAGGGTTGTTGGGGTGCTCTTCTCATTGCATAAGAGTCATATTGGTTCCATCCATCTGCATCGACAATGTCGAAGTCGTCATCATCATCATCATCATAGCCATGGCGTGCCATATCGGGCTCTACCTGGAGCTCACCTTCAATGAAGGATCACAGCTCCGCTGCCACTTGAAGAGGGGCACTAGCGTCTAGATTAGGTCAGCTAGAGCGTTTCCCCCAGACAGCTAACACACCTTTTGTACTCGGCCAATAGGCAGTCGGGGCGGTGTCTACAGGATTACTCTATATCTCTCTTGAGCCTTGACAGCGTATGTAAATGTGCTCAATACCTATACTATATCCACGTAGGATACAAACCCAAACAACAGTTGGGGGGTATCCTGCTTGTTCATCATATTACACGCAAGATTCTTCCCCATGACCCCTGAAGCCTTGATGACAGAACCATTTAGGTTGGGGTGGTTTTGGAGGGGGCGGTGCCCTGGGAGTGCGTGTGAGTTGCCACGTCCCCAGTTATATGTTGCTGATGATGACGATGATGATCCTTCCCGGTCCAGGCAAACGATGGCGTTGGACCGTATTTGTAGTGTAGTGTAATGGAAGTGTTAATGTGTAGTTGTAGTTGTAGTTGTAGTAGTAGTTGTTGTTGCTGTAGTTGTAGTGTAGGGTAGTGGTGGTAGCGGTAGTGGTAGTTGAAGTTGAAGTTGTACTTGCAATGTAATGGAAGTGTTACTGTGTAGTTGTAGTTGTACTTCTTGTTGTAGTTGCAGTTGTAGTTGTTGTGTGGGGTAGTGTAGTGATAGTTGTAGTTGTAGTGTTGTTGAAGTGGAAACTGTAGTTGTCGTTGTAGTCTTGTGTAGTGCAGTTGTAGCTGTAGTGGTAGTTGTAGTTGTAGTATAGTGGTAGCTGTAGTTATAGTAGTTAAAGTGTAGTTGAAGTTGTAGTTGTAGTGTAGTGTAATGGAAGTGTTCATGTGTGGTTGTAGTTGTAGCTGCTGTTGTAGTTGCAGTTTCAGTTGTAGTGTAGGGTAGTGTAGTGTTAGTTGTAGCTGTACTTGTACATAGCTGTAGTCGTAGTGTAGCGTAGTGTTGTTGTAGTTGTAGTTGTCTATCTATCTGCCTATCTGTTTATCTCTCTTTCTGTGTATCTATCTGTCGGTCTATCTATCTATGTCTCTGTCTATCTGCAAGCTCGAAAATGGAGCTATTCTGCGAGACGTCCTGAATTTTTGAACTTGACAGCATCAAAAACGAAGCACGACACTTCCTCAATTTTCGAAATTGACAACACCAAAAACAAAGCAATTCGGCGAGACTTCCTTCGAAAATGGAAAGTTGAGTAGAGCTGACGGCCTCGTGCCAATGCGTTTTGTGTTCCATCTGTCCAAAGTACTTGGCCTGCGAGGAAAAAGTGATGCCAGGTCATACGTACATACGAAGTGCTGCGCCTGTCACGCAAAATCATCCTAACATCTCTGATGAACATGTCTCTTGTACTGCGCCTGCCACGCGAAATGCATCTTTGCAGATCTTCTTTAAATCTTCAAATGTCCCACGCCTGCCAACGTTTTTGAAACTGCTACAAAACCCTCACGTTTTGCTCACTTTTGGCAAGGTACCGAATCCCTTGCGCCTACCACGCAAAATCACACCCCGAGACGGTCATTTTTTATCACCTTTTGACTTCCACATGTGCTTCGCGCCACAACGGTGTGCAATTTTTCAACATCTCAACTTCCAAAAGTGCTCCGTGACTTCGAAATCTGCTTCGCGCCGCAACTGCATGCAATTTTTCATCTCTCATCTGGCCAGATGGCTCCGCACCCGCCGCTTTAGCAAGCCTACTTTTCGACCCTCCGGAGCCCCAAGACATTGGAAAAAATGCAGTGTTTCGCGACTTTTCTACCTTTCGCGCCCCTGCATCTTCTTTCTTCTGACTCTTTCTCTTCTCTGATCTTCTTTCTTCTTCTCTTCTCTGACTCTTCCCACCTCTGCTTTTTCATCTGTCCATATTGTCGGAAGTTTGACTTCTAAACTTCCTTCATAATATTAGATATATCTATATACATATAGGGACCATCACCATCTCAGGGGGGAGGGGAGACCACAGACACTGGGCCATATATGTGCATATATATATATATGTGCATATGTATATATATATATATACACATACATACATACATATATATATATATACACACACCAACACATCTGGTGTCACAGGTGAATTTTCCTTGCCTCTTGATCAACATCTCCTTGGTCAGCTCCGCCAAGGTGGTGATTTTCTCATAGGGCAATGGACCACCACAGACCTCCACGAAGATGCAGCCCATGGCCCAAACCTGCGCCCGATGCCAACCCTCCATAGCCCAAGTTCAACTTCCACCGGGGGACTTTAACCAACAATAACGTTGCAGTAACGCTGTATATATAATATTATATAATATATTGCAATATTGTGTATTTTATAGTGGGATCTAGAATGCGAACATGTGATGAGTAAAAAACCAACACTATGATATATATATATCTGGGTAAATTATAATATTCCACAAACCTGAATTAAGGCCATTTGGGGATGATTTCCCTTATAAACCATGATTCCAGTGAGGTCGCAGTGAGGTCGCAGTGAGGTCGTTATAATTTACCCATATATATATATATATATTCATATATGGCTTATGGTCATCCATCCCAAATTGGAAATCAGAAAATTATGGGTACATCAGTATATAAACCCCGATTTTCATCGCTTGATGACCATCCCCCAAAATACGAAAAAACCATCCAACTCTTGACACGAAATGCACATATGGGGGTTTCTTCGAAATGGGGAAGCCCAAGTGATCATCCGATCATCCAAATTGATCATTTTCGATGGGGAGGCTAGCCCCATTTCAGGACAAACGCATATATTTCAATACTCTTGATTATTTGAAGCAAAAACCGGCAACGCAGGTGACATCAGGTGACATGCACATATTTCATCATATTTCATGGGGATTCGATATCCCCTGTCGACGGTGACCCAAGTTTCGATATCGATCCCTTCAGTTCCCCACATCGATCTTCTCCGTGATCTTCGTCTTGCAGTCAAAGAGCTCAGGCGCCATATACCTGGTGTCTCTCTTGGGGGTTTTATATGGCGAACATGGGATAAATCGACAAGTGAAGGAGACGTGCAGAATATGGGATAACTTGGATATTTTTTCTGGGAGTTTGAAATGGATTTATCAGATGTACCCTCAAGTGAAACCGCCACTGATTAAAGATGGGATGGAATATGATGGGTAACGTACATTCAAAAAGACAAACCAATGTTTCAGCTGGGTAACACACCACACAGTGATACGGTTGCCGCAACTGGGGATTCTTTGAACATGTTTTCTCGGGTTCAAGGTGCAGTGATCACATGCCTCATCTACGGAATCCATGGCTCAATCTGGAGCAAAATTGGGTACCGTCTCGCAATGACCCACATAGCTGTGGAAATCAGCATTGTTGAAGGTATATCATCTACAACGGCCTATTGTCCATCGATATTACCAGACTGTACCCACAATTGGATAGTTATCCTTTGAACTACCATCCATCTACCATCCATAGATATCCATAGTCCGGGTCTCAAACTTTGGTCCATAGCCATTGGGCCCATACCATTTCACAAACGCAGCCGTTGCACCTTGGAGAACCTCCATTGTTCTTCTTGGTGATGTGAGTCCGACTGGCAGGGATGGGTCAACCCGTCCGGGTGTCCGGGTGTCACAAAGCCCTGAAAGCTATGAGCATCTTCCAGATGAAGAGTGTTGGGTTTCATGGTTTTTCACATGTCAATATAGTTATATAATTATATGTATATATATATATGTAATAGTAAATACATATACAATTGCATACTTACACAAAACACACACACATATACATACATATATACTTAAATATGTATATATATATACACTAGTTGTCTTCAGTTAGAAACATCTTCAAGTAGAAACATCCACAAAAACCATGGGCAAAAACCACTGGGTTTCCCCGCTCCATCGACTCGGTGAGCCCAAAGTCGCAAATCTGTCCGCTGCGACGGGGATCGGATCCGGGTCACGATTTGAACTGTTGGAGATCCCCATTTTGATTGCTATGTCACATATCCATGTCAAAATACATCTTTAAATATGTCAACATAATAACATAATATAACATATATATATATATATATATATAAACATATCCAAGCATATCCAAGCTATGTTCATACTAGAATCTAGAAAACTGTACCACGAGTACCAACAGACGCTGCGACACGCTGCTTTTTGACAGGTGTTTTTGTAACTTTGTCCCTGCGGTCCGCCCATAATTTTTCCAGGGCTTCACGTCACCAGTTACTGTACTGCTTACTGTTGACTTCGCCTGCTGGCACGAGCGCAAAGCAAACTGACCCAATGGCCAAACCATAGCGGAAAAAATGGATGATTGTTGGATATTGTCATGAACTATCCTGACATATATATATATATAAACATGTGCAAACATAGTTCTTGAGTTGATGATATCAGGATCTACTCATCTCAGATTTGTTGATAATTGTTGATAAACCATGGTATGTTTGAGTAGATCCTGATGGATCCTGTTCTCACCTGTTCTCTGCGTCGATTGGCAATGCGCTCTGCACCCTGAAATGCCACGGTGCAAATCTGCCACCTCACAGGGGAAAGCCGATCTGCACCAGTGCCGTATGCAGAAGTGACCAAGCATCTGACAGCAGCACGCCCCTCAGATACATTGGATGCAAGGGGTATTTGATGATATTTGGGAAGATCGAATCTTTGAAACATATCAAAGCCAGATGCTCTTCAGAAAAAAAATCCGAAGAATTAGTCCAAAAATAGGTCTGATCTCCACCGGATCTCGCGGCGGCTGGAACGGTGAGTTGCCAAAGCTAAGCATGGAAAGCCAACTCACAGCGTTTATCCCTAGGCGTCCCGAAGCTGAGAGTATCCTTAGCCATGGTGTCATGGTACTTATATGATATGTAACTATGGCAGTCTGAGAAAATAGGAACAAATTTGTCGTTGAACTACTTTTTTTTCACTACTTGTGACATAAACTTGGAAGGAAAACTCTGGACAAAAAGTGGATAGCTGTGAGTCTGGCGCAACAAATCCAATACTTCGCTGGGAAAAACTCAAAGCATCTCCATGTGTCTCTTCCTGTGCGATCCAGGACTTGGAGAACGAGAACTGGAACGGCGAGCAGTGTCACTTGACTGGTCACTTGATTTCCAGAACGAAAAACTGGTTTTGACATTCATAAAACATTCATAAAACATCATGAAATTTGGCATAAAACCCATCATAAAAACATGTTTTCTTCGGTGCAGACTTTTCCAAACATGCATCATCCCACTGGGCACTAGTCTTCTGATTCAACACGTGATATTTCCATGCAGACTTGGTGAGGTCTGACCATGTCACAGCCGTCACAGCCACACCATTTCACGCCCCCTTTCACCATCGGTTGCCCTTTTTTGGCCTACATTGGCTTACATGATCACCCGGTTTAGTATTAGATGTGGATCTTCCTGCCTTCTTTCTGGGGGCACGTCGGAACTCTCTTGGCTCTTGAACTTGTCGTCATCTGGGATTGCGTTCAGACTCGATGCTCTTGTGTAAGCGACCACCTCCTGTCAGCTGCCAGGCCGTGAAGTGACAACTCCCCTTTTTCTAAAGCCGCGTTTCATGTTCAGTTTTTGGACCACTGGATGTCTTTTCTTGAAAAACTTAACATGTCTTTTGGATCTGGTCTTTTGCTTAGGTTGGTAAAAACACATCTTACGACATTTAGATCATTTAGGATGTGCAAATTGCAGCAATCCAGTTGCAGCATGTGCAGAAGAAATTGACACCATAGCATTCGAGGTACTGTGGTTGAGCCACACATCCCAATAAGCCATGCCAAAAGGGGCCTACAGTCTACAGTAGAGATTTTCATCACTTCACATGTTTTGGATTGTTTCGCTGGTTTTCTGCGGTTTTCAATCTTTGGGACGGCCTTGCTGTACAAAGCAAATCAAGAGTCATGCTATGTCACGCTTCAAGTGGCTACTGTGACCTTTGAAGACCGTGTAAATCTTCTTCTCTGTCCGTTTCCAAAGCTGCTCCCTTTCAGATTTTGTCGCCAATATTAGCATCATTCCGGGCAGGAGCAACAAACAGGACGTGAAACATGATGACATGAAAGCCTACACAGCTGATGGGAAGGACACTGATAGGATACCTCCATGAGGAAACTTGTTTGAATGGAAAATATATGGAAAGGATGTGAAAGAACATGGAAAAGGATCAAGCACCACAAACAACCTGCTCTTTGATCTTCCACGTTTTCACTAGTCTTAGTCTGTTCACTCCTCTTGTTGAGGCCATCGTGCTGTTCCCCATGGCTGTTCGGTGTCTCCTCCAGCTCCATCCGTCGCATCTTGATGGCACGCTTCAAGGCAGAGGGATCTTCCACAAGTTCAACTGGGGACCAGGGCAATTTGCAGCAAAATTCAATGCTTTGCTATGACATCAGCCACTAAAATTGCATTTGTTTCCTAAATACAAAAATTGATGATTGCAATTTTAGTGGCGGAAATCATGATCAGACATGGCATTTGGGGGTGTACTCCATTTAAAGCCATATCAACAGAGCAAACAGAAGCTCTTAACTGTGCTTTCAGCCAGTCGCGCCTAAAGACTTGTGGGTTTTCTTCACAAAATGGTTGTGTGCCGACCTCAGCCGTCGGACATCTGGATCTATTATGTATAACTAATCATGATTATATATCATAACCCGGACTATATACAGATTTCACAATATTGTATATTACTATATTACATGATATTACTACAAATACTGTATAGTACGCCCCAAAAAGATCGAAAAGTCTGAAACATGTGAATCCAACATAGGGTTGAATTTGATCTCAATAGCTTTTCTGAATCTTTTTGGGAATTCCATGGAATTCTTATCATGCGCCAAGGCGCCGATTCATAGGCAACACATGGCCTTCCTTCATGGCCTGAACATCCGCAGCGTCCACCTCGGCGTCATTGGGATATCACCCATGGATGGAGATGCCACCATGGAAGCTGAACAGAAGCGGTGCCTTGTGCTTCCAGGAATCGAAGTCCAACTGCACTTGTGGTGGAGCACACTCCGACTCAGATCCTGCCATTCCATGCCATTCCATGCGATTCCATGCGATTCCATGCGATTCCATGACCAAACTGTCTTTTGGCTGCCATTGGTATCTGGTGAAATGGCTGAAGAAAAATTGTTTGACTCACGTCAGCCGGCCTTACCTCCAACTTTCAGTTGCCAAGTGGAAAGCTTTTCTGAATGCTGTGTTATGCTGTGTTTGCGTTCGTTGACTCGTTGACTTGCTTGCAACCAACACCGTCCACAGATCCACCAAATGCAGACATGCTGCGCTCACCAATCTGAATCATGCATTTCTCCAACTCTGCGATCTTCTCATCTACCCTGTTGTGATCTACCTTCAGGAGCATGAGGGTACGGCTCAACTTATACAGGGAAACGAGAAAGTCATGCCAAAGTCATGTCTAAGGTTTTTCCCACATGGCACCGCAATCATTACATTTCCACATGGCACTTATTCAATTGATGTACTTTCAAAATGCTCTTACGGGCAGCCTCTCGGTTTTGTTTCTTGCTAGTTCTATGGAATTATCGGCAGTATGTTCACATGTTTTCCTCAGTAATTACTTAAATCCAGCTAGAATTACATGATATATCATAATATATATGATGATATATGATGATCTATGATGATTAATATGTACATAGGTACAATTACATACAGTATCATACAGTATCATACAGTATCATACAGTCATATACTGGGATTACCCCAGCACATCACAAACAGATGACCGATCTCCCGGTGCCTTTGCGGGCCCGAATCCATGCGACGTGGGCCAAGGCGCCTGCGGCTCCTGCAGGGCTCTCTTGATTTAAAAAAGGTATATGTTTGTGTATATGCACACAAAACACACACACACAAAATATTTTACATATATATATATATATTACATATATATATATATATTATATATATATCATATATATATAAATAGACAAAAGATAAACACATAAGATACTATAAGTGAATAAAGATAGAACAATGTAACGGTGTGTATATATATATTTCTCTTTTGCATATCAATCCATTGTATATGCATGCATTCATTCAAATGCACCCTACATAAATGCATTATTCTTTGGTTCAACAGAATGGTTCACCGATAGAAGAATACAATATTCGCAACAAGAATGATCATCGTCGTTCATCTGTTGGGAACAAACAACAGCAGTTCTTACTGACGACAGCCGTTCCTTTTGTGCCTCAAACTGTGAGATATCAAATCGGCCATATCGAACGAGAGTCTGAAAACTCACAAGTTATCAAGTTCCTTTTGGTTCTGAAAGGTTGCGGTGGATAAATCTACATCTTATGAAAACACATTGCTCAAGCAAGGGAGGAACTACAGTGCAGCATGTGTTTGCCCGTGTTATTGCTTCTCTGTGACCAAACATCAATCTGGTATCAATTTTTACGGGACTAATCAACTAATCAACAGACAATTCTCATTTCATTGCTGTAAAGACTCACTGTATTGAAGCAATCTACGTCAGTCACATCTGAATCTGACGGTATGGTAAAAAGAAGCACGGAGCCAGGCAACACACCAGAAGGAGGATTGAAGAATCAACCATACCATCCTTCAGAACACATCAACAACTATTTCAAAAACTATTTTAAAAACTGAAGAAGACTAACTGTTCAGTAGATATAGTAGATGTTCTGAAGGTATCTGAAGGTCACATGCGCAATCAACGTCTCCATTGGTAATGACACCTACACAGAATCACTCTGCACTAGGACGCTAATGAGGACGAAAGCAGAAAATGGAATCCCACCTGAAAATTCACACTGATTTATCTTAGAATATCTTAGACGTTTGAGAGCAACACATAATTCTGAACGTGGAGCACGTTGCGTGCTTTCGCTGTGTCAGCACATGCCCAGCTGTTAGTGTGCTGGGACCATGTCCTGAGTCTTGCTCTCCACCTCTGAGACACCTGCTGTACTCTGGGAGCAGCCCATCCTGCAACGTTTTGCTGACGCTGACCATATGAGGGTCCCGTGTGAAGAAAAGAATTTGATAGAAAAACTGGCGGTCCTTTCAACTTGGTTGAAGAGACAAGGCACTCCTACAGGTCCTACATCAAATGGATCCTGAGAGGATCTTGAGCAAAGCAGCCGCAAAAACAAACAGTGCACTGCTTGGGGAATCCCTGCTGGTCCATACATACTTCTTTGCTACCACTTGCATGTTTGTGTGTTTTCCCTTGCTCAAGAGATACAACCCAAATCATCGCAAGCAGCTTTCCGGGCAGCCAAAGCCATCGAGTGTTGCAAAATGCACACCAGAGAAAACATCATCAAACACCTGGATTGAGAATGCATCACCTCTATAGATCTCTATAGTAAATATTATGACATCTACTAGTATCACCTGCAATCCCCACATTGCATCATATTGCCCATCACGAAACGCAGCCGATGCGACCTAACCCATGAGTATCGACCTTTCAATCTCTTCCGTTGTGCAGGTTTCGCTTGCCATGCGAAAGCCTAAACTCCTCAAGAATCGTTTTATGCGGAATGCAAAAGGTGCTGAAACCAGGAAGCGTGAAGGCTTATGCAGACACCACAACAACGTAAAGATGTTTGGATAGCTTGGCATGCACATGAGACAAAGGAAAAAGGCAGAGGAGTGGCAATTTGTCCGCTTCGCGCTGCAGACACATAGAAACGATAGCTTTGCACCCTGGAATCTTTATGAATCTTTTCCCTCTTGGCTTACATGCTGTCATTTCTTCTTTGGCACACTGCGACAATGTAAATCCCAGGGTTGCAGCAAATTCAGCCGGCCCACTCCGGGCGCTGGCCCTTCGAAAAGGGGAGTGACAAGCCGGCACCGGACCCACGCGGTTTCAACGCTGGACACTGCAGTGAAGACCATCGATTCCCACAAGTGGGAGGAAACAAACAACAAAGCCTCTCTAGATCAGCCTAGCATGAGCTCATTGCTCTGTTTTGAAGCTGCCAAGTCCCTGGAATCTTTGACCTTTCCATATGGCTTCTATGCCGGTATGCTGTCATTTTTTCTTTGACACACTGCGAAGATGTCTAGATCCGAGTCACTTTTGTGTTGGTGACAGCTTGTTTCAGCAAAGAACTAAAGCAGCCGAAAACCGCTCGAGCATCGTGGCAGCGTAGAGGAAACATGCACTGAGTACTGGCTTCAACCCATCCCAATCTTCTTGAAGGTCACTTGGAATTATCTCATTTTCTTATTTGAACACATCTTTCACATCTTGCCACCATTAGGGAATTATATCCTAACCTTTATCAATGGATCGGCCCAGGATGCCTTGATGTTCAGACTCAGATCCAGCACCACGTTCAAGGATTTCAGGTCGCGGTGAACGATCGTGGGAATCTGGCTGTGTAAATACCTGCACTCTGTGGCTCCCCGAGATTTGTTGGGCAAACATTGGGAACTCGTGATGATCATAGTAATAGAGCATAGTGGCGCAGCATAATAGTAGAATAACAGAACTAGTTAATGTTATTACAACTAGAATATGTTTCCTGATATTAGTCACATACATGTCAGAAGAACATGAAGAACACATAACCCAAGTCGCACATATCATTCTTAAACACAAGTGATGATTCGAAATGATTCGAATGTGCATCGGATCTCATCGGATCTAGTGATGCAAATGACGCAGGGCACGATACGCCATCTGCAATCCTCGGGTGAAGCATTGCGTGGATTGGAATCCAGCCAGGTTTTTTGTGCTGTGATATGCTGTGTGCCATGATGTTCCATGTATTTCCATGTCATTCTGTAGCTCAAAAATGGATAAACATGGCGCCACAAACTTGGCTATTAATTGGCTATAAAAGTTAGTTATTACAGTCAGTTTCGTATCTGGGGTCAATCTGGACAGCGTTCCGCTGGTCCAAGCTGCTGTATACACATGTTCAAGGCATGGCCGAAGGGAAGCTTCTGCCTGCATCACGCATTGCGCGCCATGCACCCAAGTTTTGGCCATTTACATCATGATTTACATCATTTACGAAGGAATCTCATGACTGATGAAATTAGGCCGACACACTGGACATTTGGACATGAAAATGGTGCACCAGTCATTCCACATGCAGCCAGTGGCTAAAAAATCATTCAGTGATCTGAAATGCAGTCAGCAATCCCTTCTATTTTTACGGCCTGCGAACGTGTAGTAGATGATGCAAGGAACCGCCTGGCATATACCTGCAGGATCCCATCATCCCAGGATCCCAGGACGCCATCGGTGGCCACATCCCACCATTGGTCACTCGGTCACAAGGCAAAGGTTTGGCAACTGCAAAGATGCGCCGATGAAGCGAACCTCAGATAGAAAAAAAGCTTTTAGAATGGGAAACCATATTATATTATATATTATATATATGCATATTTCTGGATTTCGTTATTCATTATAATTTAATATAATTTATGATATCTATGTAAACATCCGTTCATATCCGTTCTTGTTGCTCACAGCATTATGTGGTCGGCCCAGGTAAGGCTCCGACCAAGCGCTTGTGACTGAGATGTCTGAAGGAATCAATCTCTCTCGCCAGGTCCTTTGGCGATCCAGTCGCAGTTTCCATGGGCAGCACCCCCTTGACACCCAATCAATCATCGGTCAGAAATTCGGTCAGAAATGGTCAGAATTCATCTGCTAATCGCTGCTTATCTCCAACTCAGCTTCTTTATTGCTTAGCTTCTTCTCCATCAGCGTTTCTTAAATTATCTTAATACATCTCTCAGAACGACTGCTTTGGAGGTATCAACGGCATTTCTCCATTGGAACCGGTTCCGTTTCCCCAGAACGGAATTTCCTGGACGATCAACTCAGTCATGTTCTCATCAAAGAACAACTGCTTGATGGCAACCTGCGAACAACCACTCGCCGACAGTGTGGAAACCAAACAAAGACTGTTCCAATCTTTGCCAGTACAATGGCCATTAGGACATATCAAATACATATTCAAATACTGGATTTAAATGGCAACAGCAAACATGGGAGAACAGCCTGGCACCACAACACGTGATCTGCCGCAACTGGACATCTGGCCTCTTCTTTTCCATAGTATCCTCTAAAGACCTGTGGCAGATCATCAAGCTCACTTGCACGCGCAAACTCGTGGGTAATCCTGAATTCCATGCGGTTGGGAGAAATCATGTGAAACACACCCGTAGCATATGATTTATGGCCAATATTGGGGGTTGTTCATTGCTTACTCTAGCCAGTGAAATCAATCATGATCAAAGCAATGAGAGCTGCCGAGTCTTTCCGGCCTCTCCAAACTCACCCTTGCCCAATCTCTCAATGAACTGGAGATCGTCATATTCCACCTGACATGAGGCGTTTAGCCATGGAAGGCTGAATGATGCTGAACCCGAAACTGCTTGGTTGCTTTAAACAAGCTAAAGAACAGCTAGGACCATCATCTCACATATAGGGGCCCCAGAATAGATGGCACAAACGGTACAAGCACTAAGACTAAGATGGCATCAATGAAATTTTAACCTCATATATTGGTTCAGTGTGTGCCATCTATCGGGTCACAACAAAATGCAAAAAATCTGTTGCAAAAGCCATCTTAAGGGCACTAAACAAAATAATATATATATATCTACATATCTATATACATATATATATATATGACAGTCATATGACATGTAACATGTAACATGACTTATGAACAAGTTCAAGTATGCAAATATATATGTATATATATATATTATAGATTACTATCCCCGGAATATGGTGTGCCATCTTTGCAACCCAGAAATCTCTATACTTGTTAAACAGGTCAAGTATACAAGTATCCCGTGGGTATGCCATCTGTAAACCCCTAAATCCTGTATACCCAATTCTTGCGGTTTTTTGAGCTCAGATGGCATTTTTGATGTTTTTTACAGATGCCAACTATTCGGGGGCCCCTTTTTATATCCTTTTTTTCTCAAATAGGGATGGAACATAAGACACAGATTTCATGATTTCATGCCCCATCCATCACCATTTTTTCTTGGTGGAATATGGTACCCTCTGGTAATTTAACATAGCTATGGAAAATCACCATGCTATTAATTAATGGGAAAATCCACTATAAATGGCCATTTTTAATAGCTATTTTGACATAACCAGAGGGTAACATGCTGATGACGATGACACTCCCCGGCCCTTGCACCGGCCTTCTCTGGATCTGACAAGTCCCTGCGGGTCGATGTGGTTGGACCGAGCAACCTAAAGGCACCTAAAATACAAGTGAATGTGACTCAATGTGTATGTGTATATATGATTATATATGTACATGCACATGTATATGTAGAAGATACATGAAGATACAAGAAATACATTATAAATCATTATAATATATATGTATGTAATGTATATTCATATACATTATATATTGTATATTATAATCTACACAATATATACACTATATACACACCTACATCTAAGCTGGAAGCAAGCTGCGAAAAATCCCACTGCTGCGCCTTTCCAAGACCTCGCGAGGGGTCGCGCCAGACCTTGGCAACGGGTGAAGGTTCAACCTGTGAAACCACTGGATGATCTATCCATGATGAATAGATCACATCCTTTATTTATTAGACATTATTAGATAATATCATGATATATCATGATCTATTTATTATTTTCCCTACCGGGCCGTTGCCTGGGGTCTTTGAAAGGGGTAGACACAATTTGTTAGACACTGTCAGATTGTTGGATGCTGCTGTATTCTGAAATTCTCTTGGATGTTAATCTTTATAGCCTTAGATACTGCCTGGGCTTTCACCCACAGCCTCTTGGAAATTCTCCGGACCAAGCGCCATACAGTGGAACCGGCACCTGCACCTGATCAGAAAAGGCTGTGGATTCTGGCTGTGGACGCCCCAGGGAATATCTGGTGGTTGATGGTTATCGTAATCAAATGGCTTTAGCGGAAAATCATCAATATTAACCAATAATCCCAAGCCATTAGAACATATAACATCATATAACCATCAATCATTAGATGGGTGGGGATTCCAGAAATTAATAGAAATATCTGGATGGCCGTATCAGCTGCCCGTTGTGCCCAGCGGCCTTTGTAATTGGCGTCGTAGGTTCCAGTTGCCTGGTGACCGTCCAGGTCTTGGGTGTTTTTTTTTTTTTTCCCGGCTTTCTGGTTCACTAAATCCCCAAATCCCTACGACCTTTGGTAAGTCATTTCAGATCATGAAAATATCATGAACATATCCACATTTTAGGTGAGGGAAGTCATGATACAGACCCGGGAAAAACCGGCCTCTTCTGCAGATTCTCTGACTGTGACTGATTCCTCTTGGCCTCAACGGTCTCTCTAATGGATCAGCACCAAAATGGAGGCCAGCTGTCTCTACCATATGCGCATTTCTTAAAATGAAGAATCCCCAAAACCATGGATTTCACTAAACAAATGCTTTAATGACTTGGATGATTTGAGGGTACCCCCATTTTAGGACACCTCCATATCCATATTTTTCACTAACAATCAACATTCTCACCATACTTATCATACTTGTATCTGTAATGTCAACCCCGGATTAATAAACCCTTAGGCTGGTTAATTGGGGTGGTACCATTTAAGTATTGGATTATGACTATTGGAGGAGTACCCCCCTAATTAATAAACCATGGTTTATTAATCCGGGGTTGACATTATATACCATACTTCACCATGTGGCCATGGAAAGACATCTCTTCGAACATTTCGAACTCTCTGCCTGCCAGGCTCTTTGATCTGGGCTGGCGCATCGACTTTCTGCACGCACCTGAAACATCTGAAACCCGCAGCCAAGGCGTCCTGAGAGAATTCGGGATCTATTATAAATTATTATAAGCAACCAAAAGAGATTCAGAAAAGGTCAGATTTACTTACCACTACTTTAGTATTTTGGTGCTTTAGTTTTCCATCTTTTTTGGAGAGTTGCTATATTGGGATTTGCTTGCCCTATTGGGATTTCAGCATCAACTCTAGTGCCTTTTTTGAAACAAAGCTTTGGTTTTTTGGGTCAAAAAATCGCAGTTAAACACCTCAAACTTCGGGAGATATTCTATGAAATTTCTATGAAAACCATCCTTGGCGTTCGTTTTTCGAGTGTTTTGGGATGTGCATCTTTAGGGCAGGCGTCTAAAAATGTCCCCCTTGCCATGCACCTCCACTCTAAGCGGTGTCGCGACGGCGCGCAAGACTCGTCTCTGATCCTGCGGCGTGAGGGTCAATGATTGGTCGAATTCACAAATGGCCAGGCAAAAAACATCAGAGTTTTAACTTTGATTTGTAAATTCCTACAGAAAATCTTGGCAACATCCCAATATGAGATATAACTTGATATATCTTGATATAACCAACATTAACCAACATTTCAATGGCAAAATATGGTAAACATATGGTAAAAATATGGTAAAATTTGATCAAATCCCGCACCCATTTCCATCTGGATCTGGATCCCTTGGATTCCACGGCTCACCTGCACCATCACAGGAGATGCAGGGCTGGCCCTCAGTTTCAGTGACGACTAATCTGAGATACACACAATGTGTAGAGCACACTCTTAATACATCTTAATACCATATGACCTCAATAAAGAGTATCCTTATGTATCCTTACTATGTTGATTTTCAGTGTCTGTAGGGATCACCCTGTGTTTGAACCAGTCACGCTTGGATTTGAGATGAGCGATAAATCGACGCAGTTCAGGTCATGGAACACTGTTTCATATGTTAAGCCACCAACCACTTGCCGTTGAATTTGTTGGGAAACCATCATGATTCAGGGGAGCCAGCCTCTTTTTGTGTAAATCCAGCTTGATGAAACATGTTGTCACCCCAACCTGCAAAATGGGTATGGTATGTATGGTTTACGCTTAGCTGCTATAGCTATACCACCTCAGTAGTTGGCATCCCAACCAGCTCCCAGTTTGAAACGCTGAACATCCTGAAGTTTGCTGAGCATTCGACGCCCCATGCACCCTCACTGGGCTTGCAAAGGGAGGTGCTGCGCTCCTGTCGAGACCAGGATGATCAGGAGCCCCAAAAAACTGCGCAGATATTCCCACCCTTTGATCAATATCCCCCTGAGCTGTTGATTTTCTTTTTTTTTTTGGGGGGGGGTACGTTTCTAGCCGATTCTCATATTTTCATAGCCGGGGTTTATTCATATGGGGTTGACATTGTTCATTTATGATTTACTATAAGTGGCAGTCTGATTGATCATCGCCAGTCAACAACCCGTCTCCCATCATAGTCCCTGACAAGCCACCACTATGATAGACAACACTAACACTAGATAACATAAATCCCAATGAACATCAATGAACATAATCCATGAGTTTCATTGGACGGTATCGCTAGTAAGCCCTATTATAATCATGACCGAAGACCCATCATAGTTGATCATCACTAACCTTCACCAAACCACCAATCCCATAGACAGTTTAACTTCCCAACGGACATCCGCATGGTGAAGCTCTGATTTTCCCATAATTGCCACAGTTTGTAACAACTTTCTCTGTCATCCAAAGTGACTTTAATACCCACAGTAAATGGGAGTATGTATATTATATAATATTCTCTAACATATTTTCATCCTAAGTGATGAAACACAGCCTTTTTGCTCGATATTCATTTTCTTATGAGAGCAAACAACCGTATATTAACATCACAAAGTGATTAAGATATATTAAGATATATTAACATCCCACATCATCCCACATCAAAGGTGGGTTTTCATGGTTTTCACCGGTTTTCTCCCTGAAGCAAATCAAATCAACCACCAGATCAGGTTTTCACCGCTGTCCTTGGTGCTCGCAGAGGAGTCGTTGGACTATTGCAGCTTGGCATTGATGGCACCTGCGGCACCTGTGGCACCTGACGATCACAACATCCATGGATTCTTTGGATTGTTTGGGATGATTTGGAATGGTGATTTGTTATTGATACATCTGTTATTGATCAAATTTTGGGATGATTTGGAATTGATTTGGAATTGCCTGGAATTGTTGCTGTCGAAATTGGATTTACTGTGGGATAACATTGATGAACCTTGCGATTAATTTTGCTTCGTTTCAGATATCTGTCCTACCTGGGTGGGTCACAACTGGTGACCCCCGAAGTCAAATGGTTTGAGATCTGCGCGCCTTGACATGAGCGGTGATGATTGCGGACCTCTGACGCGGGCGCAACATGTATCTGACAATGGGGTATATCCCCCAAAAGGCAATCTCAATAGGAACATGATGGTGATGATGAAACCAATTGAATTGGGCTACACCATTTTCAGTCTAATCCATGTGCCAGCAAAAGCAGTTGGAGTTCTGTCAGGCGATGCAACGAGTACCGCCCTGCCACTTCCCAATCTTTCCATTCCGAGCATCTACTCCCCAGTAATCAAACATAGCAATGGAAAACCACCCCATTCATAGATGTTCCCATTAAACCTCCATTATTTGTAGGGAATTTTGATTTGTTTAAAGATAGTCAAATTCCAAGCATACAACCTGTATCCAAGATGGAGACGACAACCAAGATAGAGACATCCAATGGTCCAAAATAGCCTGTTTTCAACATGATGATTCACTGGGATCGCAGCTGTGATCCAGATCTCACTAAACCTGGTCAATGGCGGGCGGCTGCAGGAAAAGGCCATGTTTGGGCATGGAATACAACATCCATTGTTATATGATATGATGGTGTCTATATGTATATATAATATATATAATCCATTGTAATGCATTGAAATCCATTGTAATCCACCTTCATCCCATCGTCAAATTTGCAAGTTCTGTGGGGCCTCTGCATGTTTCGGAATGTTTACAAGTCTCGGATGTCTCCTCCCATGTCTTTGCTATTCCTCTTTCATTTGTTCTTCACATTTATCATTTATCTGAAGTTGTTTGCATTTCCACACCCTCTTCATACTGCAGCTGGCCCAACTTCCACTCATTCTTGCCTGCTGCTTTTGGATAGGTCTTGAGATTTCTTGAGGCGTCTGTAAATTCATTATGTATCATTATGTCACATCATGTTTTCTTCTAACATCTTGAATATCCTGCATTTCCGTTGCCCAAATCATTTCCCCACCTGGCCTTGTGGCGGCCCCGAGACCTCCCGTTCCGGGGCATGGCACTGTGCCAAGGGGCCCGAAGGCGTCAGGTACCCCGCCAGAGGCGCTGCCAGTGGTGCTGCAGGGGTGGCTACAACACCGGCCATCGCCGGCGGCGGCCCTGCTGGCGTGGAGTAGCCAGGGGTGGCCCAGCGTGGGACGAAGGCCTGGCAACTTTCAAGGTTTTGCGGCGGACATATTTCTCGCAGGATTTGATCCTAGTTTTTTTAATTATCTATCATAGAATCATAGAAGATATCAGAATAACAATTATACAATAATGTGTTTCTAGCAGCTCTTAAGTCTGGGTTTCAAGTGTTGCTTTGCTACCACTCTGCCATTCATGATATTCTCAAGGCTAAGAGAGTGGGAAAATCTGCTAGAACAGGGTTACGTACGCATTTGTCAATACGGTTGTGAAGACGGACACAGGCACATGAAAAGCACAAATAAGTTTGACATGTGTTTAAAACATTGCATTTTCTCCACACCACAACTGGCGTCTTCCCTGTAACAAAATCATGTTTCTTCCCAACAAATACAAGAGGTTGCCAGTTTGGTCGGTGGTTTCAACCCCCTTTTTCTATTGTTCAAAATGAAAGAGTCATGAAACCACCAGATCATCATTGGTTATATCTTATATGTCCCCATTATATGCTCATTATAACTATATGGCAATGTGTCAAAACCTTGTACCCCTGGTGAACCCCAAAATAGCTGGTACAGTAAATGGATGTTCATCCCACTAAAAATGGTATTAATAGGTATTGATCCATACCCATATCTTCATTTTTGATGGCCTCCCCACAACAAAAACGGTAAACCGTACAGTCGAACCACGGCCTTTGGACCTGCCACCGTACCGCGCGGCGGTGCAACCTGCCGACGGATCCAATGTTGCCAGCGATGGATACGACGGATCAAACGGATCCAACGGCACGGAGCAACGCGGAGCCGCTTTTCGATGCGTTTTGCCACGGTGGATCCTTTGCTTCAACGGCACGAAATGATACGAGTGGGGCCTTTTGGGAGTCAACTTAGTCAATTTGGACATGATCAAAACAACTGTAACATTATACAGAACTTAGTGGAAGAGATTGGTCGTGTTCTCATGATGAATAACTCCATAAGAATCTGAAACAGGAGACGAGTTGTAAACCCAAAGCCTGGAGTTGCTGACCATACTCTACCGATGCTGAACTTCCGTATGACTGGCAAACATTTTTATGTTTGGGGGCTTCAGAATATTTAAACAAAAACATTGAGAGATCGAGAAAGGTCGATCTAAGTACAGCTCTGATGGATGGCTTGACTTAACAGAACCAACTTTTTCATTCCCAAACATTAAGCCATACTCAAATGGTCGTTTGCCAGTCGCATCTCGGTAAAGATCCACGAGCTGTTGGTGATCAGACGCAAAGTTCAGGACCTTTTCCATCATTTTGCAACATCACATGATCAAACTTTGAATACCTTTATATAATTTAAATCGTTTTAAAATCCCAACTGTTGTGAGAATAACATACCGAAATATGTGTATATATATATATATGTATATATATATATGTATATATATATATGTATATATTATCTGTACATATGTACATATATATATATATGTACATATACATATATATATATATACATACAACATCATACAACATTATATAACATCCCCAACCCACCAAAGATACCTGATCTCTGCCGTCTGCTCCACCACATGGAACTGTTAAAAGCAGCAACAAATGTTCAAAGTTTTTGTACAGGTTTTGTTTTCTGCTGCAGGGACCACATGCTGTATGCCGGATGGAAGAATCTGAAAGTGCCAGTCATGCCCCCAATCTTTGTGGAAGTAAATTACCAAACTCATCGTGTTTGACACATCCATACACATCGCAAGATTTGGATTCCTCATCGACCAACAATCTTCCATATTAACCCCCCCAGAATCTTTCGGGTCAGTGATTTCGTTGACATCATGTGCAGCCTCCGGGGCGGTCTCTGCTGTCGCTGTACGGTGCATCATTCAACCCTCAGGATGATATGCACGCCACTGTCGGTCATCACCACATGGCTCATTTCATTGACCTCCAAAGCAAAAGCAGCATCCTCAAAAGGCTTCTGCATTTGTCCACGGTGAAAACGACCTCAGTTCCACCCAGAGTTCTTAGGCCGGTTCTGCAATTTTCACTTCTTTCCATCAGACTCACTATAGTCAAGAGCATGCGGAATAATATGGTTAAACCATCCCTAGTTTTCCCAGAAAATAGCTTTCAAAAACCATCCCAAAACTGGAGGTCTACTATGTTATCACGGGATTTACCACATCTTTCTTGGACATGGCGACCAAGTCCGCGAGCTCTTGCCGCACTGGATCCCTGGCAACCGGACCTAAAGAACCACCTTCACGAGCAGAGCCGCAATCCTTGGCCAGTGAGGGATCAGATGTGACCAATCATCCGGCACCTCATCGACACCGCTGATGACAAAAGCCACAAAACCCAAAACCATTACCCTCTGGTTATGACTAACAAAAAACTATGGAAAATCACCATTTTTAATGGGTCATCAACTATAAATGGCCATTTTCAATAGCTATGTTAAATTACCAGAGGGTATGCAGCACAGCATCAGACTCTTTCCGCGCCAAGCGTTCAAATTCAGCTTGCTGTTCCTGCTGCAGAACCCCACCAGGGATGAAAGTGATCCACTAGTGATCCAGTTTTTCACCATGTGCCGTCACGATTGGAACTGAACGAATCCGAGCCACGTTTGTGATTCAATTTGCCATCAAATGCATCTACGTGTTTATGCATATATATATATATATCTATATATATGTATGTATGTATGTATGTATGTACATGTACATATAATATACAGTATATAAATATATATATATATACACACTATATTATACTTATTTATCCCGGCAGGTGGATATTCACGCTCACGAAATGAACGTTTGTTTAAAACATCATCATTTCACCACAACGCCAACCAAATGTTTCAATGCTGATTTCACATGATTTTGGGATGCCATTTTCGGGTGTTTCTTTTTTGTGTGTCGCCTATGATTTTACAGGAATTATTTTGTATTGCGACAACCGTTTTATGAGGGATAAGAATTGACACCTTCGTCTGCGAGCTTCTTTTTGCCTCTCAGACATCAGGAGCGTGTTAGATGTTACACAAGCTCATAGAACCTTATTAGTCCCCCCAACCCCCCATGTGCGAACATGAGAGATAGCAAAAAACGTCAAAAACGCTAGCGCGGTTTCCCTCCGCTGGCATATTTATGTTATTATATATCTATATATTATATCTATAATATATATATAATATCATATATGATTCAACAGAAAAGAACATCATCAAATGAAGACTGACTGGGATGGTTCTGTGGTTCTTGTGACCTTGGTGCCAATCTATTAATTATTGCTGTGATGTTCCCCAATTAATAATGAACTTCAGCATTTTCCGGTTTGCTCAATCCTGGTGTGCCTTTGTTGTCCTTTCTTCTGGGCTCTTGTTGAGCCCTACCTCTTCTGTGCTAATGTCTTAAACCTGTGTATATGATATACCAATGTAATTCTATATGTATATATCATATTATTATATATAGATACGAGTAATTGTCAACACACACACACACATTTATACTATACACATGCATATATGTATTTATACACACACACACCAAAGAAATGAAACAGAAACTCCGCTGTCCTTCGGCGTTGCTTTGGCAGCCACATGTTTTCGAAACTCCTGCTTCGATATCAGGCAGCATCTGAATCGAGTGCCAAGGATTCTCATCAATTTTTCGCCTAAATATGGCAACTTTGGGGTAACTACTATATCGACCCCCAAGTTTGAGACAAACATGATCAAACTCTATCAAGCACCTATAGGACCTACAAAATCACTCAGGTTTCGGACAGCAACCGCCTTCACCTGGTAGGTTGCTTCCTCAACGGTGCGAGTGATGACCTGAACGCGGGGATCGAGGTTAATTCGTCACCAAATCCACCAGGAGACAAGTTGGAACAAGAGATACCCTCTGGTATATTAACATAGCCATTGAAAATGGCCATTTATAGTGGATTTACCCATAAAAAATGGTGATTTTCCATCGCTATGTTAGTTTACCAGAGGGTAAAAATAGTTACATTGTAACTGTTACAATATGATTTCAAAATGGCTTCGAGGATTTTAAGTGTGATTTCAACATCCAAGACTAGAAACCATACGAAACAACATCAGGTGCGGTCGGCGGCACCCTTTCTCTCCAGGAAGTCGGTCTTCTGGATTTGGTATGCTTCTTGAGGATGTGCAAGCACCGAATGGTGGTAACCTGATGGACCCCCCCTGCAGTTTGTCACAGTTTTTCTGAAATCTAACATCTTACAGGAGTAATGAGATGTAATGAGTATGTAGCGTTGCCCAAAATATCCCAAAATGTTATATCATCATCGTTTACCCTCAGAGTACTGATTGTTTGCTCATGTATCAATCATCTACCCGCTCCGTTCTCCTCCCAAACCTGTCAGAACTTCTCACATCTCAGCAGCGGCTTGGGTCAGCAGGGGTGAGGGCGTGCACCAGAAAATTCAAAAGGTGGTGCGCCTCTCAGTCACTAGTGAAATTCCCTTGAAATATCTTGACATATTTTGAAATGGATGTGGGTCAAAATGGAAGACCTAGGGGACCACAGATGTTAGTTCAGTTTAGTATTAACCATCCAATTATTGAGGTACCTAATTTTGACCCATACCCAAATTCCCGTTGTCAGTCTTGTCTTTACGAAACCTACTGACTCTACTGACTAGATTCAGGGTCCAAGAGTGGGATGCCCCTAAAATATCCTATAGCTTCAATTTTCCATTGAAAAAGGCTATATCATTTGTGATTCGCACATCTTCTTACAAAGGGGATTGATGTTCTCATTTTCCAGATTTGAAGGTATACATTGAATCAAATTGAATCATTGGAGTTAAAACATTTTGAGATATTTTCAGGATTTTTGAGGCTACCCTATGGATTTTCCATATTTTTCATGGGTTTATCCCATATTTTTCCCGATTTTTCACGGGGCCAAACTATGGCTGGCGTCCGAACCTGGAAGGCCAAGCCGAGCCACGGGTTTCTTCACCTCGACCAGTGGCGAACCGCGCACACCGGGACCAAAACAGTGGACATGTGGCGATTTCTATAGGAAAACCATAGAAAAACCAGGGTGAAATGATGTGACATGGCAAATTTGATGAAGAAAAATGCAGATTCGGGCCCAAAATTTGGGACGCGCACAAATTTGCAGGTCACAGAGTGGCCCGAAAAAGGACTCTGCGTCATGTTTTCGTAAGGAAAATCAATTTGTTGGATTCAACTTTCACAAACAGTACAAAGGTCTCGACCTAAAACATCAATATTGGACTCACCCCTTCAAAGTCTTCATGATTTCAACAGGCATGCGTGTTATGAAATCTCAATCTTGAACCATCCACCTTGGATGATCAGAATGTCACGTCTCAAAAGTCGCCCCATAGCCATGGGTTAGTTTCATCAACAGTAGTAAAACCTGCTATCAAGGCTATCATCAACCAAACATCATTCATTTATTACTACCTATATCCCGATATTCTTGATGAGAAACACCTGCAAACAATGGTGAAACCACAATTGACAACAAAATCAGAGCATTTTTGACAAGTCAAATCTTGTGGGTCAAAACCCTGGCTCCCAAAGGAACACCCCAAATAGCTGGTCAAATGGCCATACATTGGGCGTTGGTGAAATCCCCATTATAATATAAATCCCTATCAATGCCCCGTTGAATCCCAATTAAACCAATCATCATCCATAATATAACCACTATTCACTAGATTGTATCCCCATGAACTATCCCCATTTTCGATGGTGACACCCACATTTTTAGATGGTGAAGTCCACATTTTACATTGGTTTGTCTGAAAATAATGTATCCCAAAATCCACCGGCTAATCGTCATTTTCTCTATTGAAGTAGCCATTTGGAGGTATATCCAATTTTCAGACAAATCCATATGATGATATATGATGAACATCACTATGATCAATTACATCCCCATGAACTATCCCCATTTTCAGATGGTGACATCCCGATTTTATATGGATGGTTTATGATGGCTTACTTCATGGAAAATCCTACTTGAGAGGGGGAACACGAAAGGTAGGTAAGCAAGAAAGGAACCGAAGAAAAAATGAAGGGGAGAGGGCAGGGAAAAAAACATAAAGTGGAGTCTGGTAAAAGCGACGCGGCCATTTTCTTTCCAAAAATATGAAGGGGAGTCTGGTAAAAGCGACTGAAAGGCTTCGGCGATGTGGTTGGGGTTGGTGGTGGTTGTGGTGTTGGTGGTGTTGGTGGTGCTGGTGGTGTTGGTGTTGGTGGTGTTGGTGGTGCTGGTGGTGTTGGTGTTGTTGGTGTTGTTGGTATTGGTGTTGTTGGTGTTGTTGGTGGTGGTAGTGTTTCTGGTGTTGTTAGTGTTGTTAGTGTTGTTAGTGTTGTTGGTGTGGTTGGGTTTGTTGGTGGTGTTGGTGGTGTTGGTGTTGTTGGTCGGGTTGTTGGTGTTGGTATTGTTCGTGTTCGTGTTGTTGTTGTTCTTGTTGTTGTTGTTGTTGCTGTTGCTGTTGCTGTTGTTGTTGCTGCTGCTGCTGTTGATGGTGTTGTTGTTGTTGTTGTTGTTGTTGTTGTTGTTGTTGTTGTTGTTGGTGTTGTTGGTGTTGTTGTGTGTTGTTGTGTGTTGTTGTGTGTTGTTGTGTGTTGTTGTGTGTTGTTGTGTGTTGTTGTGTGTTGTTGTGTGTTGTTGTGTGTTGTTGTGTGTTGTTGTGTGTTGTGTGTTATTGTGTGTTGTTGTGTGTTGTTGTGTGTTGTTGTGTGTTGTTGTGTGTTGTTGTTTGTTGTTGTGTGTTGTTGTGTTTTGTTGTGTGTTGTTGTGTGTTGTTGTGTGTTGTTGTGTGTTGTTGTGTGTTGTTGTGTGTTGTTGTGTGTTGTTGTGTGTTGTTGTGTGTTGTTGTGTGTTGTTGTGTGTTGTTGTGTGTTGTTGTGTGTTGCTGTGTGTTGCTGTGTGTTGCTGTGTGTTGTTGTGTGTT